TATAACTACAACTGCCCTTAGGACTTCTTGTTTAAGATCTCCAAAAATATATATACCATACCATCAGGTCTTTGGTGCCTTTACCAATATGTGATTTTTTTTTCTTTTTTCATTTTTGTCTTGAGGGTCTTCCTAGACTGAGCCCCCCCACCCCCCAACTCCTTCACAGAGGAGAAACTCTTACCCTGTTGGCCTCTTCAGCTCTGATGTTTCTTTCCTGTCTCCAGAGGCGCTGTGGCTCCCTGATTCAGCATTTTATCATTAGGTGATCAGGGCGCCAGCTCTACACCTGAGGAGGCTTTACTCTGATGGACTTGCACAGCCGGTGAGTGAATAAACCGTCTCTCCTAAAGACAATGGATTCTCCATTTAGAGCCAAGTTTGTTCTAATTAGCTGGCTCTGGGTTTGCAGTGGCAAATCTTCCGGAAGTTAATAATGCTATTTTAAGAATACCTGCATCTTGCCTGCTTAATGAACATGATGAGGGAACATAAAATATTTTTCATCCTACAAAGAAAGACTTTATTCCCATTCCCTGTCTCATGTCTCAATTCTGGACTTGCTGTTTTTAGTTAAATTATGTTCCCATCACACTCCCATTAGTGTTCATTTGGTGGCTTTTGCAATGTGCTTTAATTCTTCAGCTGGCGAGTGGCTTCTTCCTCTGCTTAGCCTTCATGGAGGCATTTTATTGGCCTAAATGACAGAGAAACGTTTCATGTCTGGTGCTTAAATTTCCACTTGAGAAGTATCTGCATGGAACATCTTCTGCAGATAATCCCTCAGCACTGGCTGAAGGGACAATGAGACTTCTCTACACCTGTGCCATCTGAGTGCCATTTGATTCCTGACCCTCATAAAGGACATTTCAACCTTACCTACTGGAAAGATGTGGGAAGCATACTACATGACTGCTAAGGATCTGGAGACCCTAAAAACATGATTGTCAGATATTGAAGCCTACCCCCCCCCCAAAAAAAAAAAAAACTGAGGGCGGATTTCTGCAGGATCAGATCTGATATTTAGTGGTTTTGACAAACGAAACATTTCTTGTTATGATACTGCCATGTTTCCATGCTGGCTGGTAAGGAGCCCCTGCAGTACTTACTCGCATTCTATCCTTTATCATTAGCCCAGCTGCCATTGCCCTGCCTCCAGGGGCCACCCCTTCACCGTTTCACTGGAGCCCAGCACTGAAGACTTAACCCCTGGCCTAGACTCTGTTCTAATGCTAGTGTTCCCAGAGAGCGCTCTCATCTGCTGGTTCACTCCCCAGGTGCCTGCAATGGCTGGGGCTGAGCCAGGTGGGAGCTGGGAGCTAGAAACTCAGTCTACCAGGTGGGACCCAGACTGAAATAGTGAACCATCATCTGGTGCCTCCCAGGGTCTGCATGATCAGGAAGTTGGAATCAAGAGCTGGAGGTGGGACTCAAACCCAGGTGTTCCAATGTCCCCTTAATGCCGATCCCTTACTTAGATTTTAAATATTCTCCCTGCGAGAGGACTCAATCATCTTGCTCCTTAGCTCTTGAAGAACACGTGGAAGATCCAGAGAACACCCACCAAATCTCAGGGAGTGTGCCTCCTTGGGTACAGTAAAATTAATTGGATTGACTTTAAGACATCTACCATTGCCATTGTCTTGATGGATACAATGTTGCTTTTTGGGGGGTTGTATTTGGGGTGGGGGTAGGAGAGAAAAAAATTGGGAAGCCGAATTCTTGACTCATTCAAAACTGAACGCAGGTCTTTTAAAACATATAAGTCCGATCCGTCTCGAAGCCACGTTCTTGATTTTAGATTCTAGTTCCACCAGCCGCGGAGAACAAGAGATCCAGAGAAACAGGAGGTGAGAGCCTGTTTTCCTTCTCCCTCTCTGAGATGCTTTTAGGGCCCCCTAGTGGCTGTTTTAAGACCTCGGGATTCCTAGGATTAGGTCTCCTTGACCCTAATAAAACAGGAGAGCCCTTTCTGAATCTCCTCCCTGACAGGTGCAATAGCTGGGTGGAGATAAATAGATAATAGTTGGTTTAGAGGGCTCAATATTTTTTCATTTCTTGGTGCTTAGCGAGAGCTGTGCTGCTGCTTTAGAAATAACAGATATATTACCTTACATATTTCACCCTGCATTCCTCATACTATATTATGTCATCCCTGAAATCCCTTCAAGACATTTATATCTTGGTTTGTGTCAAAGGGCTATAACTCCTAGGGAAGTGCTTCCAACCTTAGGTGTTTCCATAAACCTACGCGGATTGAACTGGGGTGCTCTGGAGCTTCCCAACTTTCCACAGAAATTCCTAAGTGTGGGGCCTGACACGATGCTAGCTGGCCAAGGGTTCAGTCTGACAACCTCCCTATCTTTGAGAGCTAAATTAAAAATGCAACTCCGAACTGATGCAGCAAAGCTTTTCCACCGTTAAGGTGCTTACTGACTAATGCAAATAAAATTCGCCAAATCCCCTAATAATGAATTCTATCTTCAGCCTATGCCACTCCCCAGCGTGGCCACTGCTGGCTCCCCCGCCACGGTCCCATCTTCCTAAGATCCAAGCGAGAGAGTGGACCGCGCTCGGGTCACAACAAGGTTTCCCACATACTTACCTTTTAGTTTCTGATGCTGTTGGATTCTTTTTCCTGTGCCTGTCAATCTCGGGTCCCTCTTCCCTTCCTGTCAGGTTACTCGAATTAACATGCTAATGTATTGCACTAAAGCATTTGCTACCGCGAACGAAGGGGAGCAAAGCCCTACACGAAACAGAAAGCGCACATTCTCGCTTTAACTTTACCCGGTTCCGGGGAGGGGTTGGGGAGGGGTGCGGGAGCAGGCAGGGAGTCGGGAGGAAGGAGGTTGGGGCGGCAAAAAAAAAAAAAAAAAAAAAAATAAAAACGATCCCCTTGTTCTCAGCGCGCTCCGGAGCAGAGCCGCGCGCCCCAGGCGGAGCCGAGCGGTCTTCGGGCTAAGCGGCTTGGCGCTCAACTTTGGCTCTGGCATGGTGGCCCGGGTATCAGGTCCGAGTCTGTCATCCCGCGTTCTCCCTTGGCGCGGCGATGGCATCCAGGCCAGATAGGACCTGCTGTGCCCGCAACGTGCGCGCCCAGACGGCGGGACCCCAGCGCCGCAGCTGAGCCGTCCCGCGCGCGGCTCCCGGCCGCCGGCCTTCTCGGCGCGCTTGCCTCGCCGCGGCCGGCTCGGGACTAGGTAAACAGCGCTCGGGAGCCCGGGTTGGCGGCGGTGGGTGCGCCCCAAGCCCCCGGCGCCCAGCCCGACCCCCGGGAGCGCGGTCGGCGCGCCGCCCCAGCTCGGAGGCCTTGTCTCCGCTGCCAGGGAACTCGGGCGGCGGAGTCCCGCAGCTCGGAGAGCCCCGCGGCCCGCCTGGCTGGGGACAGGTGGGGACCTTGGTGGGGGTGGGAAAGGGGACCCCAGAAACCCTGGGACCGCGCTGCGGAAAACCCGGGAGCTGGATTGCGCGCCGGAGCCCGTTCCTGAGCCCCATGCGAGCTGCGGGTCCCCGCGCGCCCTTTCCCCGCCGCCGCCGCCACCTCCCGCGGGTTTCTCCCCAGGCTCTGGAGCCCGGGCGCGCGTCTCAGCCCAAGCTCCCGGGCCCGGGGCTGGAGGTCCGTTCCGTATGGGGGGGTGCTGCGCGCGGGGGTCCTCCAGCCAGGGAGGAAGGCACGGGACCGCGACCCGGGCGGGGAGGGCGCGTGGTGTGGTGCGGGGGGCGCAGAAATTCAGTTTGATATCCCGGGACAGGATTCTGGGAACCGGGAGGACTCTGTCCGAGCCCTTCAGCCGGGCTCCCGGCAGCCTCGGACTGCCCCGAACCCTGCCCACCTCCGAGAGGAGCGGCGCCGCGAGCCGGAGGTGGAGGCAGGGAAACTTCCCACTCCCCACGACGGCCGCTTTGCTAGGAGCGGGTGAGCAGGCGTCCCCACGGCGGCAGCTGCGGGCCCAACCCGCTTCCCTTCCCCCCCCTCTCCGAGCGCCGCACGCCCAGCCCAAGGCGCCCGGGAGCGGCCGGGGGCGGGAGGAGGGCGGGCAGCGCCGGGCCGGCTACCCTGTCCTCGCGACCCGGCCCGGGCTCCGCGTTCCGGGTGTTGCAGCCGCCTTCGAGCCGGCGAGCTGGGCGGTGTGGGGGCGGGGCCCGGCGGGGGGCGGGGCGGAGGCGGGGCGGGCCCGCGTCCGCGCGGCTGCGGCGCTCGCCATTGGCCGGCCGCGCGGTCACGGGGCCGGGGGCGGGCACCCAGGCGGGCGCCGGCCCCGCCCCCGCTCGCAGCCCGGCCCCGGCTCGCGGTCCCCCCCGGCCGCACAGACATGACACAGACACACAGTCACTGCAGCTGCTGAGAGAGCCCGGCGCGCGGGGCACGCGGCGGCGGGGCCAGCCCAGAGCCCGGACCCCGGCACCACCCGCCCGCCCCTCCCGCCAGCCCAGCGCCGCGGCCCCCGCCCGGCGGGGCGCGGGAGGCGGGGATCGCGCGCCGGCTCCGGCCAGCGGCGCCCGGCGGCCGGAGGCGGCTGCAGCGGCCGCCCGGCACCGAGCGCCTGGCGCTCCGGAAAGCCGGCTCGGCGCGTCTCGGAGGCGGCGGCTGCCGAGGCCGGCAAGCGCTCGCGGCGCCTGGGGCCGCCCGCCTCGGCTCCCCGCACCCACCGCGCTGCGCTCGGTTCGCCGCGCCTCGGCTCCGGTGACCTTCCCGGGGCGCCTCCCCCGGCCCCCGCGCCCCCGGCCCCGCGCCCCAGGCCGGGGCGAGGCCCACTCCAGCGCCTCCTTCCCGCGGAGCCGCGGGCGGGCGGGCGGGCGGCGCAGGCCCGGGGGGAGGGGGCGCCGCGAACGCTGCAGCTGCCCCCCCTCAGGAACCCGGCCGCAACCGCGGCCGCGCTCGGCGCCTGGCCCGGCCGGGCTGCCCCTGCCCCGCCGCCGCGCCGGAGCCCGGGCGCCTGAAGCTGGGGGCGCGGCGGCGCTCGCCTCGCCGGGCCGGCTGCGGGCAGGCCCTGCCCTGAAGGGGCGAAGCGGCGAGGAGCACGGGAGGTGGAGCTGCTCCCGGGGGGCCGCTCGCTGGAGCCACCCCGAGGCGGACCCCGGCCCCTGCTCATGCGGGGCGCCCCTGGCTCGGGGGAGCCCGTAGGTCGGGGAGCAGCTGCAGGCAGCCGAGCTAGAGGAAGAGGAAGAAGGGACAGTGGTCATCCGGGGCCACCCGGGCCCTCCCTGCGGCGTCTGGAGCCGGGGTCCGCCCCGAAGTCTGCGCGTGGCGCCCGCGCGCTGCCTGGGGCAGCGCCCGCCCGGACCCGGACCCGGACCCGGACCCGGAGCCGCAGCTCCTCGTAGGCTCCGCGGCCGCGGCCGCGCCGCCCAGCTCGTGCGCGGTCTCCGTCTGCTCGGCGGCGATCACGGCCGAGGTAAGAGCCTGGGGTTCCGTGGGACCAGCGCCGGACAAGTTCTCCGAACCTGTTGGCTGGGACTCCTGTGCTCAGGATGCCGGCCGAGGGGGAGGGTGCGCGGGCGGGGAGTCCAGTGGAGGCTGGCGGGTGCGTCCCCGAGTCTCCTACGTCCCCGGGACCGAGCCTGCCCGGCTCCTAGGCGCACCGGCTGCTGCCAGGGAGCGAGCCAGGCGGAGTTTCCCGTTAGCCCTGGGAGGAGAAGGGCACGCACCTTGGCGCGCTCCTGGCCGGCCCCCCGCCCCGCTAGCTGTGTGCACCTTGCTTTAGGGGGCCCTGTTGTGACTGGAGAGGCCCTTCTGGGCGGGTGTCACCTGCCTTTCCCGGCGTGGTTCTCTGGAGAACTTTTCTTTGCTCCTTGTTGCGCAGTGGCCGGTTTGGGGGTGAGCAGCCACTGTTTGCAAGTCCCTCTTCAGGATAAAGTGGCTGCTCAGCGGCTGTGTGTGTTTGAGGGTGGCGGGGAGGGAACCAGCCCCACCAGCGGGTCCCTCCCTTTAGACAAGGCTGCTGGAGTCCAACCTCCGTGTCCGGATCCAGGCTTCAGAGGGTTGGAGCCACGACTCCGAAGTTTGTGCACCCTGAAGGTGTTTTGTGCGTTGCCATATTGTCTGCTTTTAAACGTTCTTCCCCGGAAGCCCCAGTTCTTGCCTGTCTGAGATGTATTAGAGCCAGCAGCTTCCCCCGGAACAGTCCCATTTTAAATGGGTCACCTCGGAGGGAGCAGGTTGTCTCCCGCACGCTGAATCGGTCCCCCCCGGGTGACCCTGTTTAATGGGGATGGATTTTTCTCGTCCCTGTGCTGATGTACCTCGCCTGAGCAGGTTTCTGCTGAATTTCGAATCCGTGAATTTTGCCACTCAGTCCATTAAAATGATCTCCTGAGGGAGCAGAATAGCTGGTTACATTTTCCGTGAATGTCACAGGAAGTTTTCCAGGGTCTTATGTAAGTGCCCTGAGCGAGCATGGAGCCTTCTGTTTCCTTCGGGGGGAGTGGGAGGGGTGGTGGTGGTGGGGCTTCTCCCTCGGACACAGCTGGAGGCCCCCAGTATCACTCCGTGGAGCGGTCACCTCGTGCATTTCTCTCTCCCTCTCCTGTCTTCCAGAAGTCGGCTCTGCTAGACTTGAGATAAGGAAGCTTCTGAATTGGGGGGGTGGGGGGCACAAGTGGTGGTTCCTCTTCCCCTTGCCTGCAAATGGGTGACGTGAATGAATTACTCAGCTGTGTGTTGGGTCCTCACTGCAAGAAAAAAAATTAACACATCCCAAGCGCTTTAAGGTTTCACACATCTCTTAGCCGGCCTTTCTTTTTCAAGAGTGCTTTTACTCCGGTGAAAATTGTTTGAGGAGAACACAGCGTTGTCTGAGCCTGGCCCTGTTAATACCAAGCCAGGGAGAAAATGGAGTGGAGCAGACAGGAAAAAGTCATCAGGATTGAGATCTAAGCGGGTTTTCGAGAGAGGTGAGGACAAGATGCAGAGTCGGTCGGTAGGATTGGGAGGTGTTAGAAAGATGCCATCACTCTGCCCCAGACCGGGGCTGCGGCTGAAGCGTGCCACTCAGCCAAGCGTGCTGGGTTGTGGCTCGCCTTTGTGATGTGAGCTGTTGCAGGTTCTCCTGGCGTTTGCACCGTAACTGCAAGGGCCTTGGGAAGGAAGGGAGAGCTCGTTGTCCCCCAGCGCTTCCGCGCTCGGCAAGGTTGTGGAGGTTTGCTCTGCTTCTGGATTCCTGAGCTCTGCTCTCCAGCGGATGCATCCTGTGGTGCCTGCATGGTTCAGCCACCTACAGCGGCAGGGCACTAGGGGGACTAGTTTTCTGTTCCACCAACGATGCCCAAAACACAAGCACCGTGGTTTATCTTCGGGAATCGTGAAACTACCTTTTGGTACCCAGTGTGTGCTTGTGGTAATGTGGATTCCGCGTGCCCAAGTGATCGGCCTGCTCACCCCTGAAGTGTTCTTTCGACAGTGCTGATCCCATTGACAGGCAAGTGCAATGCTGAAGAGATCCAGTTAAAATCTCGAGGAGTATAAGGATTCTACATTTGGAATGAACAGACTCTCCCGTCAACTGTACCCTTTGGACATTAGACCATGCCAGCTTGCAATTCTTTAGCAGTTTGTAACTGAAACTTCTCCTTTTGGTTTTTGGATTGCACACCCCACGCCGTCCTGGTAAACTCACACCACATCATAACCTCTCTGGATGAACTCCTATCCCCTCGACAGCATGTACCTCACATGGATGTGAACGTGGCACTGGACGATGGTCACACTTGCATCTCAGATACCCTCCGCATGGTCAAGTATTACATCATTAGTATCTGGAATTCTTCCTGCAGAATTAGAAGATGATTCTGTTTCAGAGCAAAGCCTGGTTGTCCAGGCCCATGATACCCACAATAGCCAAGTCTTGTCAGAGCTGACTGTGGTGATGGGAAGACAGGAGGGCTGAGAGGGAGAAGAGACAGCCCGTTTCAGAATACTGTGGTGCACCCTCACACACACAACAGGCAAATGCCACCGAGATTTAGGTCTTACCTGGGTTCTGAAAGGCCCAGTTCAGCCTGTGGAATTAGACTATGCTCTCTGCACCTATACACCTTTTTACATGTGTTTTTATGCGTCCTTGAACTTCGGGGTCTGGTAGACCACATTTGTGACCCTTTGCCCATATGTGTAGTGTGTATTTTGGTATTATAAGGGGAGTTATTATTGAGGTCCATGGCAAGAATGGTCAGCATAAAGTTTTATTTCTACTCTTAAAGTTTTATAGATTGATTCTCATGGCTCAGCCAAGGGGTAAGAGACTGAAACATGAAAATACCATCACTTTTGCCACTCCAAGCTCTTCTGACTGTGTATGCCATCAGCAGGAGTTGTCAGAACATCCCCCCGACTGTAGGTATATCTATCTATACATTACAGCCGGATATCAACATCTATGAGCCCGCACTTCTACCAGCTGATCCTGTGGTCTTGAGGCATGGATGAAGTCTTGCAATTTTGAAGAAAGTCAGATGGCAGAGGTAGAGGGGTATGTTGAGGCAGGAGGCAGGTTCTCCTTAGGGCTCATGAACAAGGTGAAGGTGTCTGTGGCCAGAGAGTTTCAGAGAAGAGGGAATGTACTGGGCAGAGGGTCTAAGACTCTCAAGCACCTACCGTTGACACCCTTTGGGGATGCAGCCACTTCTCAGAATCTGCTGCTATTGATCAGACATGGCTGTTCCACGCTGGGTTAATTGGGCATGGAGAAGTTCTTAGCTTTTCCCTGTCCTACTGATGTCTGGAGACAGTGGCCAGTGGAGTACAATTTCAATTGAATGACTTTTCTTCTAGTGGGACAAATAGTAGTTGGCCATCTATGGCAGGTGCCCCACCTGTGCTAAGGTTATGGCGCCTCTGCGTTTAGTTTACTGGCTGGTGCAGAGGTGAACGCCCAGCTGTTCCCAGCAGCTGTTTACTGCCCTTCTGATTGTTCTGAGGATGGGTTTGGGCTTGTCAGGAGAATAGCAAGGGGAGTCCCAGGCAGACAGAGCTGCATGGGCGTCTGAAGGTATGTATTGTGTCTGGCGGGATCACGGTACTTCGTGTGGCTGGAGGGTGAGCCATGCTGGCAGAAAGAAGCGTGGGATCAGAGGGGAAATCATTTCATAGGAGTCCGTGCTAAGGATTGGTCCCAGCTGCCTGCTCTGTGGATTCACGTGGTGGCAAGAATGGCTGCTGGATAAGACCCAAGAAGAGTTGATTATCCCACGTCGTTATTAAAAACAGAAAAAGAAATTTTCTGTTTTGTCCATTATCCTTCCACATACAGCATTTTGCCTGTTCTTTAAAAACCTATTAGCAATGCAAATAAAGAAAGGGTCCCTTATCAACCCTAAGCCTGCCCTCTTGTGTACATGAATTACATCTGGGGCTTTCATTATGTGATTATGCAGCAGTGGGAAAAATGACAATGTTACTTGACAAATGATATAGTATGAAAAAAAAACCCTTCTCTGTAAGAACCAATTCCATTTTGTCAGATTTGCTTCTGGGTAGAGTTATGGTCATATTTAACACTTAAACGAGGTTCTTCTATTATAATCATTTCATTTCTGGCCAAAACTTTCCTTGCTGTTGGAAAAAGAAGGGTTTTGTAATACTGAGAACGGGAGTGTGTGCACATGTGTGTGCATACTGAGGGCATTTCAAAAAGTAAGCGGGAGGTGACATTAAAAGATTAGTTTATTCGGGCAGGCATCGCGATACAGTGGGTTAAGCTGCTGCTTGGGATGCCTGTATCCCGTGTCAGGGTGCTGGTTCAAGTCCTGGCTATTGAGCTTCCAATCCACCTTCTCACTAAAGTACCTGGGGAGCAGCAGATGATGGCTCTGAGTTCCTGGCTACCTACGAGGGAGACCTGGATGGAGGGCCTGGCTCCTGCCTTCAGCCTGGCCCACTCCACCTGTTGGATGGAAGATATTCTCTCTCTCTATCACACACACACACACTGTCACTCGGCCTTTCGAATAAATATTTTTTGTTAAAGATAGCTATTTTGGCACAGAAAATTTTTGAGATCCATGCATGTAAGAGGTCTTGAAAAAGTATCAGGACTGCGTTGTGCCACAGCCAGTGTTTACGCCACCATTTGCAATTCCAGCAATCCATGCAGGAGCACTGGTTTGAGTCCCGGCTGTTCCACTTTAAATCCAGTTCGCTGCTAATGTACCTGGCAAAGCACTGGAAGGTGATCCAAGCGCACCTGCATGAGAGACCCAGAAGAAGCTCCTGGCTCCTGGCTTCTACCTGACCCAGCCCTGCCTGTTGTGGCCATTTAGGGAGTGAACCAGTGGATGGAATATCTCTCTCTCTCCCTTTCTGCCTCACTTTGCCTTTCAAATAAATAGATCTTAAATGCATGAATTACAAAATATTTTTTAGAACTTTTGTTTTCATTTAATTTGAAAGGTATAGACA